CATCAACTATTGCTGAAGGTTCCCCTCGCCTCATCTCACCCAAAGCAGTAACCCGTGATCTCTACCACCGCACCTCTCCCCTTTCTCACCCTTGACATTCCAATCGCCTGCTCACGGCTGCCTCACCAAGACAGAGATGAAGATTGCCAGAAATAGCGAGTACATAGGGGCAAAAAGGGCAAAAGGGGGCAGTTGACGTCAACCAAGTTAGTCTGACACCTATGCCTGTACTCTTCTCACAGTTCCCTTCACTAGATCAATGCATGTGAGGCTCTTTAAAAACTGCTGACATCAACAGCCAAGTCACGCGGGTCGCTCTCGCTCTCTCTCTCTAGACCGACTTTTTCGCTGTCATATACACACGTAGTCCCTTCTCTTCCGCAGTTCGTAGCAGTCTCGTAGACTTCTACTCAAAGCGGGCGTCTCCGCGCCAGTGATAACGTCAACGAGAGAAGTATCTGTAGCCTGAGCATATTGCCCGCACCCGCGTACCTGAACAGCGCTCTCTCTCTCTCTCCCTCAATCCTGACTTTCTTTTCTTGTGACTGCCTAGCGTTCTTGGTCCCATCGCCATTGCGAGTTGGCCTTTGGGCCTTCCTCGACTGGCACTCCTGATGGATGGTCTTGGCGCCTTTGGTCCCATCCATGCCAAGATTGGGTTGCTTCCGCGTCACTCATTTCAAACTCCCCCTCGAAGTCTCGGTCATGGCGCTGCTGCTCTCTTTCCGTGGTCACAGTCGGCGGGTCATCTTCGTGATGAGTGACCATCACCCGCATAGCCGCAGTCACTCCATCTCGTCTGCACCTTCGCTCAGCTCTATTGCAGGCTTCAGTGATAGCTGCCTGCAGTCCCTCATCTCTTCTCATCTCCTACTCTCGGTGACCATAGACGTTGATCTTCAACTTCACTTCCCCCGTATGCGTCCCCTAGGACAGTATGGTGTCAACCAGTGCACCTTTCTCATCTTCTCGTTCTCAGATCCAAGAGTACCTCATGTAGCTTGGCTTTTAGCCACGCAGGCCATTTCGGTATGCCATAGCCACCTTTCCCAGTAATAGCCAGCACTCGAGACCGCAGCGATTGCCGGCTTCTCCCCAGTACACCCTAGGTACCTGACACCCAAACTCAAACCTGGCTGCGGCTTGAGCACGTCGCATTTTGCGCAGCTATCCAGACTACTGAAAATTTACTAGCTGGCCGATCGTAAAAATCACTGTCACTTCTCTCTCTTATATGATCACGACACTCCGTGCTACCCGCGCTCTAAACGAGACACTTAGGGTCATTTCCATATTGGTAAAGGAAAATAAAAAAAAATGAACTGCATTAGAATAATACATCAGTCTTGTAATAGTAAAAAAAATCAGCAGTCATTTTAAGAGGCCATTGCCCACAATCTTTTCAACTCAACTTGAAAATCCTGTGGACTCTGTGCACAGTGGTCCCATAACGGGATACTGACTGACTTCTCTTCCTCCACAAGAGAGAGTCGTCGGACTGCTCCTATCAGGTACCCGTGTCCGATGGCAAGGAGGGGGCTTATGACCTTCCGCGGAGGGTGATATGTCCCCTACCGAAGTGGTCGCGGGTTGCCCCTCTTTTGGAGTCCTGCTATGCAGCGATTAGCAGGCCGTGCCTGTAATAGAGTGAAATATGAAGGGCCGGCCAGTCTAAACCACCCTCTTTCGAATCATCAACTCAGAACTCAAACTGTTCGTTCCCCTGCAACATGACTAGGCAGGGGACTAAAATTCGAAGGGACAAAAAAATAAATAAATAATAATAATAAAAGAAGTTTCTTTGCGAAATTCCGAGCACGCGAACGTTAAGAACCGTCGGATCTATGGCTTGGGAGACGCCAGACACCCCCACCTGGTACCTTGGTATACTCGTGACAAGAGAAGGTCTAGCACCCCAAATGGGCCAGAACATGCTGACCAAACAAATCAACAAATTAGGAAGGTGGGGCAATGTCTTCACATCCCTCATCGGACGAGCCCTGGTCCTTAACACTTCGGTCTTCTCAATGATGTGGTACTTAGCCTCCATCTGGACTGTCCCGGATAACATACTTAGCCTCCATCTGGACTGTCCCGAATAACATACTTAGCCTCCATCTGGACTGTCCCGGATAACTCTATCAAAGAACTGAACCAAAAAGCCAGGCTCTATCTATGGTCAAGAGACCCCAACAAAGAGAACAGTATATCTAAGTCGCATGGCACTATGTCACGAGGAGCCCGCTAAAGGGAGGTCTAGGGATTATAGACCCTGGAATAGAAACAAAAGCCTTGCAGATTAAGTGGATTATCAAACTTTTGATGAACCCAGACAGCGCATGGCATAAATTAGCCCTGGACAGCATCAGATCGCTAGCTCCGGTGCCCTCACCAGAGGATATGTCAGGACTGTTCTGGGTAATGAATAAAGACTGGATCATAGCCACAGAAGGAATCGAACGAGGGACGCCAAGCTAGAAGGCTATAGGCCTGATACTCCATACTCGACGTTGCTACTTCAAATCTGGAGAAAAATAATCCCTAACAAGTCCAACAGACTTAGATCTAAGGATGAAGTACTAAGGCAACCGCTCTTCGGGAACCAATGGGTGACAAATGAGGGCGACAACCCCCTTTTCTTAGAACACAGATGGCTCTCCTGGGTCAAAAACGGCATATGGAAAATCGCTCACATATGGAATGAGGACAGGAAAGAATGGAAGACAGAACAGGAAATTAGTTCCCAACTGAAAGGATGCCACAAACGAGGACCCAATCTCCGGTACATTGTCAGCCTTATTCCACAGGAATGGAAAGATATCTTGACGGAAGCCGCTCCATGGAAACCCGRRGAATGGGGACTTAAGATACAAGAAATGATTCCCTCGAGAGCTTTCCAATTCTCCCACATGCAACGAGACTCACATACCAAGGCCACCTTCCTCTCCTTTCCAATCTCCACGACTGCTACCAATACGCCGGCCATCCTGAATAGCAATGTTAAGTCGGTAGTCTTGGACTCCTTCCTACTTAGGAAGATAAGGGTCCTTGGCTCTAGGCCCAAGTCAATCTTTAAACCGGACACAACAATCCACAACTTGGAGTTCGACTCAGCTGAATGGGCATGGATGCCGGACAAGACTAAGAACATCAAATCCAAAATCCCAATTCATGAGTACACAGTTAAACTAGGATACAGACTGTCACTGAAAACCAAAGACCCCGACCCTATCATTAAAAAAAGATGGCACAATCTACTGGGCCAAGAGGCGGACAATCTCACGCAGATCCAGTGGAAAAAGTTCAAGCTTATTAGGCCAATCAAAATTAGAAGCTTACAATGGCTAATCGCCTACGCGGCATTACCAGTGAACCAATGGCTACACACGAGGCGTAAAAGTTCAGATCCCAACATCTCAGACTTGTGCATGGTTTGTAATGAAGGGACGGTAGAAGACATAGTTCAGTGCCTAATACATTGTAGAGAGGCGACAAACTACTGGGCAAGAGCCTCGGCACTCTTGGACTCCCTATTCCCAACCCCCTTCCCCAAACATCCCATCCAACTTCTCCTCTTGACTAACATCCCACAACAGCTCCAGAAGGCAGAAAAAATCTGGTTTGGACTCATCAGAAAGGTTACATTATGGGTCATATGGAAAGAATGATGCAGCAGAACGATTGAAGGACTGTCCAGCCCATGCGAGAAAGTTTGGGTGGAGGCGAAAATGATGATACAAGCCGAAGTCCTCTGCAGATGGAGGAAGACCAAACAGTCATGGACGGAGGACCAGGACCAACGAAAGAAGGAGAGATGGACCTTCAGCAAGAACTGGCTGATAAACGGCAAGATTGCGGAGTTACGAGAAGACCGCATTTACTGGAAAGAGTGGCACAACTCAACCCCAGGAAGGATTCACCAGCAACAGATAACTGCGGATGGACAAGACATTCCATGATCAGACATCCAAGAGGGGGAATAAGACGAAAGTAAGGGTGTCATAGAGCAGGATAGTAATCGAGGGTTTAGGGATTAAGGGTTTAAGGGATTCTCAGAGAGGGTAGAGAAACTTCGGGCAGGGGTCAGGGTGGCTCTTGGGTAAGGATGGATAAAAGAAGGTACAAGGGACAGACACGACAACCGGGCAAACTCTTTCTACGAATTTAGAACTATCTGACAACCCTAGCCACTAGGTCTGAGAGAAGACTTTCCCTACCAGACGAGGACAAGCAACAGCGCACAAGTACCGTTGAAGTTTACCAAGACCTGGCTGATTGAAGGAAAGTTGCAGAGACGAAGAATTTTTATGTACGGTGGAAGGACGAGCACAACTTGCAAGATGCTAAGAGAGCACCAAGATACCTCACGATTAATGGAGTAGTCCTGATACAGACAACAGTGTCCTATGCTGAGCAACAAGGGTATTAGGCGGGAACTTTAGAGAGGAAGGAGACTCAGATTTCTGGCTGGAGGCAGATCCTACCACTTTCTCTCGCTTCGAATAGGTCTATTTGACAGGCCCAAGAAGGGAACAGGGGTCCTTCAGCCATATGGAACGAAGTGTGACCGTGTTTCATGATGTAATATTTTATTCTGACTTGCCGGGGGAATAGGAACCGGACTGATGCTCCCCAGAATGGAAAAGGAGCCAGACCCATAAGGACCTGTTTTTGTTATAAAAAAAAAAGAAAAAAAAAGAACCGTCGGATCTAGCGATTCTGAGGCAGTGGTCTGGATTCAGGCGGCGATTCAAACGTGGCACTTTACTTCTTCTATTTTCTTTTCTTTTCCTGCTCTTTTAAGCCCTCACAACCACTGCACCTGTCCCATAACCCGAGTGTAGGGATTCAGCGCGCAGTTGAAGAGTCCGCACCGGTCCTTCACCATAGCATCCCTGGGCGAGCCTGGCGGCTACCACGACCTCGGGTCGGTCATGCTCTGCTGTACAGCAGGGCATTGAGCCTGCATGCACCAATGGAAAGTCCAGTGGTGCACCCACCTTTTTACCGGTGGGAGCGTCAACTAGACCAGCCCCGCAGTAGAGGGCGCCCCAGGGGAACCTGAAATGCCACGGGGTTTCATCAGCAGGCATTCGGTACACAGCGGAGGGCTGGGACACTGCGCCCTCCGACAGCGCTGCTGGACGGGAAGAAGACGACCACCATAGCTGGGGCTGGTTGGACCTGAGCAATTCATCAGGTGCTGAAACGCTGCGAGCGGCACCATCTTTCTGGGATGTTGGGAGTTGGGTGCTGCCGTAGTTGTTACCACGTGGCAGCAGTTTCATCTTTCTTCTTCGAAGGGGGGAGTTCTCTTCTTCTGCAGGGAGGACGGCGCTGCTCCCTGGAATGGGGGTTGGGTCTGCAATCAGGGAATTCGGTGTTTGGTAGGTTGGCGCTTGAGACAGGGAGGTTGTGTCGGTGGTCCGCAGATGTCGGGGTTGAGGTGCTGTTTCAGAGTTGCGCCATTGCTAGAGCTGTGGAAACTGATAGGGAGGAAGAAGAAGTCTCCCAGATACTTGGTTGAAACTTGTTGCATTCTGTTCCAGTTGTTGAAACACGGTTGAGATTCTGGGAATTTGTGAAAGTTCTGATTCCACAATTGAATTTTCAATTCAATTCAATTTTTGTATCTTGAGCTTCCACTGCATATCTCTCTCTGGTTGTGTGTGCATTTGCCTTCTCCGCTTCATAATTGCATGCGTGGTTTGCGGTGGACTGAGTTCCACTCAGTTACATAACACTTGCTTTTGGAGAGGCGACCGTGCATGACGGGCGCGGTAATTGTTGGCAACCTTCTTTCAAGTGGCAGTTGGAGTTTTGGAGCGATGCACCGTCTTCTTCAGCAGACACCACTAGGGAAAGGACGTGAAGGGTTGGTGCATGTGGGGGCGAGAAATGAGAAGATACAGTGACCGTTCACATCGAATGGTAATCGAAGTGGAGGGGATTTTCTGGCATGTGCTGACCCTGGCGATTTTAGTTTACGGACGTCAACCCTAAACTTAATCCCCAGACGACCTGAGGGTGGATTTTCAAAGAGACAGGCACGGCCTGTCTGCAGTTTGGTCTGCCCTAATTGGCCGGCCACCAGATTGGTAGCAAGTGTCACTCCAAGATTGGAGTGAATCTTCCATCTCCATGTATTTCTGCAGCTGGAGAATAACTTTTTCCGAAAATTCGGACGGACGAATCTTGCAGAAGATTGATTGGAAATTTCGACGGTAATTTGACTTGGGCCGTTGACTTGCAGAAAGTCAACTGTGCAGAAGATTTGACTGCATGGCAGCACTGACTGGTCAAAGGTCGACCAGCGCTGCATCTCCAATCAAGTATTCCGGAATCTTACCTGCTCTGACGTCAGTGTGTGTCAGACAGTGCAGTTTGCATATAGGTTGCCAGAGGGTCTGAATCGGTCCAGTCTTCCACCCTGTCTAAAGTAATTCTGTATCTGCGGTTTTCTGTTTCTGATGCTGACCTGTTTCCCCTTCTTCAGACCTACGTTTGCTGTCATTTTCTCTATCGGTAATCTGTCCCGCCAGTGTGGTCTCCAAAGTGGTCTGTCTGTCAGTCCGTTGTCAGAAAATGATAGGCCTGGTCTGTGTCTGAATGGGGAAGCAGCCAGTTAGTCAGCGTGAGAGAATTGACTGCAGGCAGAACATTGTCAAGTCGAGGTGGAGGGACAGCGGTCCAAAGGGTAGGACAATAAAACCGTACTGGGATCTGTTTCACTTGTCTGCAGATATAGAAAACACTGACAAAATCTGTTCCTCCCTCACCAATCAGTGCATGGCGACTGTGGATGGTCCCAGATGGGACCTGATCTGAAAATTTGTCAGATTCGAGTGTTGAATCTCTGACTAACTATGGATGTGGAAAAAGAAAACCGTTGTTTGGCTTTGCAGCTTTTTCTGTTGTCCTAGCCTACAAACTCGCAGTCTGCTCAACAGTCACTATGTAATAACCTGTCATATTAATGATATTATTCGGAATTCCCTTTTTTTCTGGGTTAAGTCGACGTCCGGCCCAGACGGACTGGGGGGGGTCCGTCCGGCAAAACCAGACGAGCCAAAAAACATCCCAGGATTTTTTTTTTTTTTTTTGAAGATGGGGTTGGAGTGCGCTCGCTGAGAGGAGCAGAAA